AAACTTTACTATGCCTGTACCTAGTACACCTGCATACTACAATGGGGAGTATGACAAATGGAGCAATCAAGCATAGGCAAACCTGTGCCATTGATAGAGGTTATAATGGCTATGGAACTTCCAGCAACCCCTGTACCATCAGTACTGGTGTGTGTGATCTGACATTCTGGGAAGCCCAAATGGGGCTTAGAATTTTAATACAGATCTAATCAAAAACAATTGTTTATCAGGACTTAGTCTTTATTCTTAGAAAACATTTTTGTTTCTTGTCCACTTCCCATAAAAAGATTTGCCAACCTCAGACAAAAAACAAACGTTATGGTAAACATCTTTGTCCAACTAACATTTCGTAATTCAGTCAGACTTAAACTTCACTTTCAAAATCTTTATATGGTTCATCTTTTTCAGTTGTTGTAACTTCTTTTAATTTCCTATTTCTTCTTGATAACCTTTCCATTATTTCATCATTCCAGAAAACTTTTAATGTAATTTTGCTTGAAGTTTAGTTGGGGTTTTTTTATTTGTTATTAAAATAATCCCACTCCTGACACTAGAATTGTAACAATTTATATTATTGGGCAGGCTTTTGGATCATTCGGCAAAAAATAATGCAAAGTCAAGTATACTTAAGGATAATGAAAGCATTTTATGTCTTTGGTAACAGGTTTTACAACTTTCATGGTTTCACAAACTAAATATTTGTAAAACTTAAGTAACATATAAACTTACCAACAAATTCAATTATCAAATCAACCACTGTAAAAAGACTCACAAATCAATTAACAATGTACTCTATTCTTGTCCAACTCGCATTATATATTACTCAAATTGTTTCTTAACCCTCTCACTACAGGTAGGTTAAAATGTATATCACAACTTGTTTTTGGAGAGTTACATTCAAAATAATTAAACTGCATTATTATCACTGTATATGAATAAACTAGGCATGAAAACATAGTTAATAAATCAAATTTCAATATTATATGTCTCTTAAATTCTTAATTTTTATAAGGAAATATTTTTAAAAATTTCAATCTCCCCTAATATGAGAATTGTGATATTTGCTCTGTAGGTCTTTTCTTTTCTCTTCTCTAATTTATTTACTACTCCTCAGAGAAGTATGGAATTTAATGTTAATTGGTCATTATGATATAGATATTACTAAGGCAAAGCATAATTTTTATAGCTTTCAACCTTATTTGCTTATAGAGCCATAAACTAGAAAATCAGACCCACTTGCCACGTCCACCAGTCACAGCCTCTCTTTCACAAATTGCCAATAGTTCTCTCTGGTGTTTAATACTATATTATTTACAGCAAAAAGAAAGCCAAAGTTTTAATCTATCAAATGATGCATTATATTATGTTGTTGTCTGTACACAAAACTGTCTAATTCCTGGTTCAGTTTCAAATTTGTTCTTACCTGAATTATATCAATTAGCTTAGCTGAATTTTTAAAGGCTCTTACTACATAGTTAGAAAGCCATACAAATTATTATATTTATTGAACATTGTCTGGTTTTAACATATTATTCAGTGTTCTTAGATGCATTATTTAATTAAATAAAAAATTAGTGAAGCAGTACGATCGGTACAAAACGTAGGCTTAAGTTTAATTAACAGTCAACAGCAAAAAGATTAGGTAACAACTATGGTTCTTGTTTTTCATATGTATTCTTTATCTATTATTATAAACGTAACTAAAATGCAAAAATTAGAAACTTATTAGGTTAAATTAGGTAAGACAAAGATAAAAAAGAATTATAAAAATTCTTTACAAGGTATGATCGCAAGTGGCTCATGTGTTATGTAATTTGGCACAGTAACGTGTAGCTCGTGAGCTACACGTTTGCCGAACAATTTACAATTTGTGTGGCAAGATTATTAGTTAGACACAGTTCAAAGGGCAATAAAACAATAAAATTTAAGTATATACAGATGTATACTGTTATGAGCTTTAAACTATTTAGGATAAACAACTGCAGTTTCCTGTTGCAATTTGCAGTCATTCTAGAAACAAAAAGTAATCAGATTTATTTTATATTTTTGATGGTGTTTACAAGGTCAGTCAAATTGAATGAATGTACATAGAGTTAGGGTAGAGAGAATAGCAGAAAAAATATCAAGTTCTACTGAAAAAAAACTGAAATATATCTAGGTTTTAGAGATTATGTAAATGAAATTTTGGATTAAAAAATAATTTTAATCCTAGCATGAAAATCATTTTGCACTCAGAGCAGTCAACATTCTAACTGAATATATTCATGGAGAAATTATTAGTAAATATACTTCATTAAAAATTCTGATTTTTTGTCAATAAAAGACTTGTAATTCGATGACGAGGAGCCCACTTTGAGATTAATAATGGTTGGAGACGGCTTGAATGGGTAATGAAGAAAAACTTTAATATAAGTTTAACATAACAGCAACTGTTCAACGTTTCGACAAGTACCTGATGATGACAAAACCTTGTCATTAAAAGACTTGTAATGTTTACTGAAAGCTCGCAAAATTAGTGAAGATATACAAAACATATCAAACATTATGGTATAGAAACTCTAAAGGTCAATTTGGGGGTTATGAACTCAGCAGAATCACCCGAGCCTTTAGAAAAAGAGTTAAACTTGCAAGAAAATTATAGTTATTAAGCTACATGTTCAGCTCAATACATGTTCTTAAAAACTCTCCTTAGCCAAAGTTAAATATAGCTTACAACAGTATGTTCAACAATATTCAGCGACCCAAAACACTTATATACGTATATGTTTTAACCCCTGCAAAACATTTCACACAAATAAAATCATGCTAAAAATGACATGGAGGGTTTGAAACTGTACTTGTGAAAAATCAGCAATACTTACTATGAATTTCACACACCTCACAGCCAACAAAACATCTGACCAAAATCATTTTCAGATATGTTGCAATTAACAACAAGTTGTCAATAATGTGTAAGTATAAAGTTGTTTAAAGATTGTGCTGATAATCTGTACAATTTTCTACCTTCTCAGTGGTCACCCATGAGATCACTTATGTGCAAATAAGGTGTCCCAAGTATTTGTTTTAACATTACATATGCCAACTATCATTCTTTATCCTATCTTTGGTTGCCATCTCTTCACTATATGTGTTTAAATCTGTAAATGCTGATATTCTTACATACCAGTAAAGCAATCATGCCTGAGGAATACAGATGTGTTGCCTGTAAGGTTAGGACTGGTCCAAAGAGGAAGAGAGAGATATACCTGGAACACAAAATACTGACATAGAATACACCAGTGAATCAGTTGCACGACTGTCCATCTGACAGTAGCACTATTTGTAACAAATTTAGACAGTAGTAAAAGTACGGAAGAGAATGTAGAGTGCACAGTACAATGATAACACCCTGTGAAGATTCAAGGAACACTGCTACAAGCACAAACTAGATATTGTGCAGAAGGTACAACTATATGTTCAAAAATAACACACACACACACACATATATATATATACTGTAGGAGTTCCCAAACTCATAAACCCCCTAAGCAGTCGCGCAATTTTCCAGGACTCTTGCTAATCTGCTGAAGGAGGGGTTATGGTTCTAATATATTTAAATAGTCTAGTAGTGTTCCTATTTCTATTTTGATCAAAACCATTTTTGAACACAAAATATTTCTAAAATAACCGTGATACCTCTTATGGTTCATCACAACAGATAGTTTGGAAACTGCCAATCTACTGCTTTAAAAGTAACATAAAATGCTTCATGTCTGAAATCAATACATAACAATAAAACAAGGATTCGAGCATTTGTAAAATATGAGTACATAATTTTTCAAGAATAACCAAATGCTGCCTAGTTCATCTCTGTGGAAAAATATTTTTCTTCCAAAGCTATTTTTGATACTCAGTCCAGATGATCACAACTATGTCAGTCACTGCATACAAGTCAGGAGTACAGATTATAATACAACTATATCAGTCACTGCATACAAGTCAGGAGTACAGATTATAATACAACTAAACGCTGTCAGATTATTATTATTATAACACGAATGGCTTCGTGAAGTCACAGTTTGATATGTTAGTGACTGGAGTGCTGTCACCGAGCAACAGTAATATCAGATGAGCATGTAAAGACAATGTGCATATGTACTAGTAAAACTGAGAACACGTCTTTCCAACAGTCCTCTTTACAGCACAGGAATTTACCATGAAAGATTATATCACACAAGTTATTCCTGCCACTTCTTCTAGCTATGCTGCAAGATTTGTGTTCTGGCATTTGAACCTTTGAACAAACTGATGGTTAAAAAAAAAAGATTTTGTTTTAAAAATTTACTAGCCATCAGTTGATTTACTGTATACTTTTCAAGTCTGTCTTGGTACTGTTATCTCACCAGGTCAAACATTTCTGGTTACTTGGCCATTTTTGTAATTTTATAATTATTAAGTAATAACACATGAATCATGCAGCACCAACAGCAATTCCTGGGAATGTTCCCATTGTTTGTGTATGTCATAAGACTGATTTCTACTCCAAGATTTCTGCTGAATGCTAGTTTTGTGTGTCATGCATCCTTCATAGTTTTTCATGTTTACAGTTCTTCAGGAATATGACAGCTAAGAAAAACTATATGTTCTCTATGATAGAGCTGGTGGTTTTTCATCAACCAGACATTATCTTTATGCTCTTAAAGAAAAAAACAATTTCAAAATGTTGTGTTGGTAAATAGATATATGGATCGATATTATATTTTCATATAAGAGTAACAGTGACATGTTTTCAGATGTACTTGTTTAAAAATTGGATTCTTATTTACTCTGTATAAATCATTATTAAGCTTTAGTTTGTGGGATAAACACTGACATTAATAAATGGGACTGATATGAAAGAATTTTGAAGCTAGTATTTGTTGATATTTTTGAAGTACAGAAAATCAATGTCAATGTCACAGCACATAGTAAATGTGAAATAAGTAATGAAAAACAAATAAAGCTGAACAGCTCACATGGTAATCAGGTTGAAAAGTTTTTAATGATTATAGCATTCACAACTCCCCAAAATGTTGACAAAAATGTAGCTATGAATGTTCCATTACAAAATCAGAAACAATACAACAAGGAAAACTAAAGCTGGTTTATGAATTTTTTTTTTCCTCTGACAAATAAAAAAGTTATACGACACAAAAAGAACACTTTTTAAATATGGGAAGTTTGAGTGAAATACAGAGTGGTGTATACAATCCATACCTTAAATTTTGCTATTTACAACAACTGTCTTGTTCAATAATGGCAGAAGAGAATCCTTAGCTTCATAAAATCCAGACTTCCAAAGTTCTCATCAAGATCAGGAATGGCCAACCTAAGTCTCACTGCAGAATAACAAATACATGTGTTAAAAATACTCTAAACATATTAGGGAAGAATGCAATTTCATTCATTATATTAAATTATTATACATTTATCTTCACTTTGCTCAAATACAATACACTTGCTATCTTTTCATAGGTTAGAACAACTGTATTTGGGCAAAGTTGAATGGGCTAATTTCAAAGTGCTTTCACAGACTAATGAATCACACATCTTAAAGCCAACAAGTTTCTGAAGTCTAGAACATGCAGAGTGTTAACCAAACGGCAAAGTGAAATTCAAATTTTGACTACAGACAGCAGATTGTTGAGTTGGCTATACAGAAACTGCTGTAAGCTGAACACCACATTCCCATGATGTAAAAAATATAGCAATCAACCCCACCTCTTGAAAAATGGTCAGGATGGTACTGCTCCTTTGCGTCGACAGATTCCTATTATTTTCTATGACAGGATGGCTTCAAAGATAATTACTAGTTTTGTGTACCACAACCTGCTTGACAAGAACTGTAGCTAAAAACATCAAAATCATATAATACATAGTTCCGTATTTTATAAAATGTGAATAACATAAAAAAGTGAATTGTAGGTTTTTAATATTTATATTTTATTACACATAAGAAATGGTACTCGTGAACATTATGACAGTTCTTTGAGTCTTACTTGATATTAAAATTGTTACAAATTGAAAGACAGAAAGTTGAAGCTTCTGAAACCCAGCTGTTGGTAGTGTACCATGACTTATTCAGTTAATAGTTTTCTTCTTCTTCCCTACTAAAGCATATAGCAACCAGTTATGCCCAGTAATTAAAGACTTAAGTTAGGGTCACCTGATGAGATGTGGAGTCCTAAGAAGAAATTCAAGGTCAGATGCATGTTTCTTCACATCATGGTCGCCACCAACGACCTCAACACAACTGCAACATGCGAGGCAACTGTACTGGATAACTGAGTTAATAGAAAAATTCTTCGGCCACAGTTTAGCTACTGCAGTTACTTCCAGATTGAGAATCTAGACCACTAGGAAGTTATAGTTTTTACCTTAAATATTTATTGTTAATACCCATAGCTACACAAGTATTTTCCTTACCAAATATTCTAGCTATTATAACATTCACATTGTCTTTTTTTTTCTGTTTGATGCGCTTATAATTTTTTTAATCCAAACATACTCAGAATTCTTTACTTTTCCTAATACTAAATTACCAACTTTTCTTTTATATGCGCCTATAGAATAACTATAGTGAAACCACCCTATTAAACCACAGTTTCCCACCTCTTCATTCCAGCATATTTAGAAATAGAACAAAACAGAGTGCATCAACTTTTCTGTATGATAAAATAATGTATTTTAACCCGATGACTACCGGCTACTAACTTTCTTAGTAGGCAATGCAAGTGTGAGGTCAAAATCATTTGTGAATTGAAAAAAT